TATATAATATATAATAATTATTAATATTATTGTTTTCAAGATTGATTATATTATAAAAATTTAAATAAAAAATGCAAAATAAGATTATGATTATTTTACTTATTTCTTATAATTCGATTCAGAAAATATAATATATATACAATAATTATATAATATATATATATATTTATAATATTACGTATGCTTATGAATAAAAAATTATGTCTGGATTACAGTTAATCTAAAAATATAAATTTGATATTTTTGTTTCTATTTAGTTATTAAATATAATGAATTATAGAACAAATGGAGTAATTGAAGAAAAAAGAAGTGGATAAAGATATTTTGTTTTGAGATTATCAGTCAGATTTATCAATAGAACTTCAATTAATAATCCCTAGACATGTGGAATTTGTAGTTTAAGAAATATTGATAAGACAAAGGATTTGATATGATGAGAAATAAAACTTTGACAAAATTGAAACATTGTTTGACTGCCATATATCTCATATGACATTATATGCTATTTATTTCTTTTTATATAATTAATAATCATAATAATATAAAAAAATAAAATATTTAAAAATTAAAGTATCTGAAAAATGATATAATCATGCATATAATATATTGTCATATCATATTATATAAATGTATTAAGCTATATCATTATATAGGAAGAAGATTTAAAAGCTGCGAAATACATTTATCTTATTATTTAAAGTATTCAATGCAAATTATATGATAAAAATGTCAAATTAAGAAATGCAGAAAATATTTTATTGAAGATTTAGAATTTAATTATAGTAGATAATGTCAAATTGATATCTTTTATTACATGTTTACATATTTAAAAAAATTCAATTTTTAAAAGATTTGAATTGATTTTGTGTTTTAATAAAATAAATTTAAATTTTTTTACAGAAATCATATATTTTTTTTTTTTATAATATACAGAATATTGATATATTCACATAAGACATCTTAGGAGGCTTGATTCTAAGAAACAAAAAAAATACAAAAATTAATAATTCATAAGTATCACTTATTTATTAAATTATAAGCAATTTAAGTTTGCAAAACAGAGATGAAGACAAAATGAAATGACAATGTGATGAAAATAGAATCCTGATTGAATGTACATCAATAGATCTAGAATTTGAAATAAGAATTGGAAAAATAAGAAAGAAAATAATAAGATAATTCCTGAATCAGTATTCATTTGTATTTAAAATTATAAATTATTTTTGCAAAAATAAAATAATTTTTTATATTCTAAAATCGGTTTCAATTTCTCATGCACTTTATTAAGTATATTTAATATTTCTCTATTAAATAGAATAAATCTAAATTGTTCTCTGAATTTGCAATAATACAATAAGAAGATATTATAAATTATTCAAAATCATGTATTTATATTTTTAATAAGATTTAATTTTAACTTTTTTTTGTTTTTTTTTTTCTATATCATATTTTAACTGAAATTAAAATATGTTTAAATTAATGATTTCATTTAAAATAGTGTTTATTTTAAAATTTTATAAAAAAAATTGTTATTTATTTAAGTATATTCTTAAATAATGTATTTTAAGGATTTTTTAAATCATACATAACAAATATATTTAACATTATATTAGAAATACTATGATATGATATTTTTATTTAAATGCTATACTTTATATATAAATTTTAATTAATATTAATAAATAAAAATGTCATGCATTTATATTTATTACTTAATTGTTAATAATAATTAATCTCTTTATTAAAGTATATACATTTAAACATGTATTAGAAATACATACATATGTAATTAATATATATATATGTTTTAATCTGTGTAGTTTTTTGTTTCACAACTAACATATTTTATAATATACTTTATTTTTAATATTTTTAATAAGACAGAAATCGAAATAAATATAAAAGTTAGATAAAGTGAAATAAAGGCAGAAATGGTAATGATTAAACAGAGAACAATCTTTAATATATTTTTAATAGATGCAGGAATAGAAAATAAATAAATTAAAAATGATTATTTTTTGAATGCTATAATATAAAATAAAGAGATTTGATTGAATTGAAACAAATTATAAAGTATAATTGAATTTTTCCTTTTAATATTAGATTATCTATTTAAACAAATTATACAATGTATTATACAAATTATAAATCTGATCTAACTCCAAATCCAGGTCCTGGCGGTGGAGATATTAATGATGTTAAACCTCCTGCTGGATCTGCTGCAAATCTAGAAGAATTTTGTGGTCCTGGTGGTGGTTTTTTACCTTTTTTAAATGCATTTATTATAGAAATAGCACTTTCAGGTGTTAGATCTTCCTGTAAATATATTTTATAATAATTTGTTACATATATATATATTTGTATATATATTATAAATATATTTATAAATGCTCAAGAGTGACATGTAAATTATAAAATTTTTTCATAATTAAAAAAATATTCATTTCAAAAATTTATATACAAAATATAATATTAAAATGGTATAATATTTTATATGTTAAATAAAATATTTAAAATAAAACTAAACATACATAATAATCATCATTAATTTGAAACATTGGTGCATTAGCACAAGCACCAAGACATTCTACTTCAGAAATTGTGAAAAGTTTATCTGTAGACATTTCTCCGACTTTACAATTTGTAGCTTTAGTTACAGCTTCTACAATAGAATCGGAATTTCGTAACCAACATGGAGTACAAGTACAAATTTGTACATGATATTTTCCCATTGGTCTTCTATTAAACATTGTATAAAATGTTGCAACTTCATAAACTCTCATGCGAGGTATATTTAATATTTCTGCTACTTTGTGCATAGCAGAAATGGGTAACCATCCATGTTGTCGTTGAGCCAAATCTAATAAAGGTATCATTGCACCACGTTTATGACCTTCAGGATAAATTTTCAAAAGAGCTTCAATACGTTTTTTATTTGCTTCATTGAATTCAAATGGTATACTTGGATTATCAACTTCACTATCTCTATGCTATTAAAATAAAAATGAATTAATATTATATAATATGATTATATAATACAATATTAATTAATAAAGTTTCATATGATATTTATTAATTTTTATATGATTTTAATTAATTTTATTATATATATATATATATATATAAAACAATACATACAACAAACAATTGATCTGAAGTGCGAATGATTGAAGTTTGTAATCCTCTAACATTT